CTTCGTAGGTGACCCTCCCCGGGCCCGGGCCCACTGGCGCTCCGTCTCGGCCTCTGCCCTTAGAAACGGGTCCCCTGGCGGGTGGGGGACTGTCAAGGCTCCGCCCCAGTCCCCGGGGTCGGTTCGGTCGCTGGTGCGACCCTTGGTTCGGACCCGGAAGACAGGAGGGCAGGGCGGGTGTCACGCGTTGACCAACGCCTCCATCACAATCCCCCACCCCCGCCTCCGCTCCTCTGTCGTCGGCCAGACCTGGCGGTTGGAGCTGCCGAGGCCCGGCCACGGGAGAGGACCCGCCGGCACCAGGGCTCCTGGTCGCAGTGCCCCCTCCCCAGCCGGCATCGCCCGCGCGGGGTCCCGGGTCCGGGCACCAGCAGAGGGGTAGGCTGCCGGCCAAAATGTGGTGAGCGGGCCCCACGGGAGACGTGCCGAGCAGCCGTGAAGATGGCCTAGGCGACCCTTTATCTGTCCCTTTTTGTAATTCTGTGTGTCACATCGGGTTGTCTGAAAAGTGGAGGCAGTGCTGTTCATCTTGGATGTCGCAGATGCGCCCAGTGGGTTTTATTCTCTTTGGAATTGTTAGATTGGACAGTAATTAATTCTGAAGCTGAGGGATAGGACGCCTATTTCGCTCTCCATTTGTGTGTGTGTGTGTGTGTGTGTGCATGAAAATGTACATAATTTAAAAAACAACAACACGATTTGAAACAGCACCTAATCCAGCATGTTTTCCAGCTCCTCCGCCTCTGATGCAGAATTCGATGCTGTGGTTGGCTACTTGGAGGACATTATCATGGGTAAGCCTCCTTGCCCGTGTGGCCTGTGCTCTTACGTCTCAGACCCTTGCTTTTAAGGACACAGAGTTAATTTTTTTTTTTTTTTGTAACACAGAGTTAATTTTTAAGAGAGACGACATCGAGCTGCGTATAGATTTTAATGTAGCACATGGTAATGTTAAACCCTACTGTCATTTGTCTTAGCGGCAAACAGCCCATACTGCTTAACGCAGCAAATCCCCACCGATTCCGGCCTCAGGAAGGAAATTTTCAGGAAAGCCGACACCTAGAAGTTACGGGGCTCTTGGCAAAACTTCAGGAAATATTGATCTACCTTATAGCAGAGACGAAGAGCAATTCAGTTTTTTAGTTTTTCCTTTTAACGTTTTCATACGAAGTAATGCCATAACCGTAGCGCATGTGCATGAATCAAACAAGGTATTTCCTGTTTGTGGGTTCATTTTGGCACTCATAATTCCTACTAAGGAATTGGCACGAAAGGTTTAAGACACATATGTGTGGGGGAGAGAAACTTGAAATTTGAGACAATGTTGTCTATTGACTTCAAGTCTTCTGAGATTGAGGAAAAGAAGGCTGCGATTTGGTGTTACTCGCTGTGTCTCACTCTAGTTTAGTCTGAAAATCACTGACCGAGTTTTTGTATGTCCAGGTAGGTATGGTAAAGGGTCATGCCCTCACCTGTAAATACAGATGTTTCACCACTAAGCTCTCATTCCATGTGGATCTGAGGGTTTGGGGGGGATACTGAGGAATACTTTGAGTTCTTTTGCCTTTTATGGATACCCTGTGCCCTGTGGGAAAATGAACTCCTGTAAGCCCCGACTATCACAAACTGGCTACGGCTGTTGTGTATATTTAAGTACAATTTTTAAAATACTAATAAAAAAGCCAGTTTGGCCCTAAACGGTTTGGCTCAGTGGATAGAGTGTCCCAGGTTCAATTCTGGTCAAAGGCACATGCCTGGGTTGTGGGCTCGGTCCAACGTGCAGGAGGCAGCCGATCAATGATTCCCTCTCATCACTGATCTCTCTCTTCCCCTCTGAGATCAATAAAAATACATATATTTTCTAAAAAGCCAGATGGCTAAGTGGGTCTCAGAGTGTCAGCCTGCGGACTGAAGGGTCCCGGGTTTAATACTTCCTTGAAACACCTTTAGTTTTCTCTCCTGGAGACTGACGGTTGAGAAACCACTCCTGACATGTAACTCCCGCCTGTTTGTAAATCAGAATGGTTTTCAGTTTGCATTAAAAATAATAGTTGTTTTTTATTGTGGTTCAGATGACGAGTTCCAGTTGTTACAGAGGAATTTCATGGACAAGTACTACCAGGAATTTGAAGACACAGAAGAGAATAAACTCATCTACACGCCTATTTTTAATGAATATGTAAGTGGATTTCTATTTCTCTTGCCAGAGATTAGGGTCTCATTAAAATGTGAATTTAGAATCAAAAAAATGCTGAAATTTGCTTGATTTTCAAATCTGCCACCGTACCCTGCCAGGAATTCTGTTAGAATCTGGTTTAGTTCTCATCTCCTGTCACTTTCCCGCACTCAGCTTTTGGGGCTGTTTTTCAAATATGTGATGATTTCATCAACTTTTATTTCACAAGCTGTTTGGCTTTATCATAATCCTGATTTCAGTTACAATACGTGGAGCCACCACACCAGGCATTTATATACTTTTGACCTTTTGGCTTTCGCACACTCTTTTCCTATTACTAACCCAGGTGTGTATGCCTGTCAGGTGAACATGAAAACCAAGACCAAGACCGCTAACTAGTGGGTGGCAAAACCAAGACTAGAATCCAGGAACTTCCATTCTTGACCCTTGTCCCCCCTCTGCCAAGGTTAGGGTCTCCTGGAATGATACCATCTGGCTGAGAATGGGTTTGAGCCTCCGGAACCTTCTTTTCTTAACGTAGCAGCTCGGCAATCAGCGCAGGTTCCCTCAGGCCAGGCCCAGCTTCTAAGGACCCTGGATTGCCTCTGTCCAGAACTTCTGTGTCTGTTCTGCACAGATCCCACCTGCCCAGGAAGAAAAAGCCACTTCATTCCTCACTTCCGGCCAGGGGTCGGGGGAGCCCTGCTGCTGCCCCTACTGGTCGGAGAGCGTGCATGTTGTTCCAGTACAATGACCGTGTGCCTCTCCCTCCGTGGGCCAGGCCGCCCAATAGGCCAGGAGCTGTGTTTTGGTCTCTGGTGTCCCCGGCACTCACCACAGGCCTGGCACATGGGGTCGGCTCTTAGGACAGGCTTTCTGAAAAGCAGTCCTGAGGTCTGACAAGATCTTTCTCACTTAGATTTCTTTAGTGGAAAAGTACATCGAAGAACAGCTACTGGAGCGGATTCCTGGCTTCAACATGGCGGCCTTCACGACAACCTTACAGTGAGTTGAGCTTGACTCTGTTTTGCCTTTTTCACCTCCCTCCTCCTGCGGTCTGGAAAAAAAGACCCTCTTCCTTCCAGCGTTGATCATCAAGGCTGAGCGCGCTTGGTGGTTGGGTCCCGAGTAGAAGGGCCTCAGAACCTTTGACCGAAGGCTTGAGGAGACGGTGTTCACCATTCATTCGCCCTTTCTTTTTGCAGGCACCACAAGGATGAGGTGGCCGGTGACATATTCGACATGCTGCTCACGTTCACCGATTTTCTGGCTTTTAAAGAAATGTTTTTGGACTACAGAGCAGTAAGTCACCTGTTTTTTCTTCTTTTAATTTTGTGTTTTTAGTAAGTCCCTCTTGCCTGTTCCGTTGGCCACACTGAACCACTTAGAACACAAACCACCTCCCAGCTTCTCCCTGTGAGCTTGGCCAGTGGCACCTAGTGGGTGTCAGTGAGCTGCTGGCCCCCTCCAGCCGGGACCTGGGATCCTTACCGAGGAATCCCGTTCTGTGGGTAAGACTGACCGTGGCCAGTGCTGAGCAAAAATGTAAATCACCCTCCCCTCCCGTGCTCCTGGTGCCCCACAGCCCCACCCTCAGCGCCTCCTTCCCCAGGCGGGCTCTGAGCGAGGGAGTTTTATGTCTTGTCTCTTGAAGTTTTCGTTTCCCTTGCAGGAAAAAGAAGGCCGGGGACTGGATTTAAGCAGCGGTCTTGTGGTGACATCACTGTGCAAGTCATCCTCCCTGCCCGCTTCCCAGAACCACCTGCGGCACTAGGTCCCCTCCAGCAACGGGATTGTTCAACATCAGCCCAGGGCACGGGAGAGGCGTCAGCTACAGCTGGCGACAGGATAGATCTTGGGGAGACCGGCTCTGTTCCGCAATCCTTCGTTAACATCAAGTATTGATGGAGGGAAAAATATGGTATGACCCTCCTGAGACCCGTTTCTTCAGAAAACCCTTGTGTTCGTAACCCTAGTGCTCCTCCCTCGGTGGGCATCTCTCTCGGGGGCTTGAGTCAGCACCTGTGGACAAGTCCACGCCAAGCATTCCACCTGGGGGCTGCTTCCCCCGCACACGTTGGGGTGTCACATCCGTGGGTTTCCCTGGTTGGGAGCATTTATCTGGGGTGTTCTCAAGCTGCTGCCGGACTTGAAGCTTCTGGAGCTCCTCTCACCACCGAGAGTCTTGGCTGTCTGAGTCACCGAGAAAGATGTCCTTTACCCAAAAGCTACATGTCCGAGTCAACGCCTAGTTTCACATCCGCAGTCCCCAGTCCCCGTGTCACTGTCTTCTGGTCCTGATGTAGCCCCCCGTTTCCAGAACTCTCCTTTAAGCATTTTTGAAAGAAACTATTTTTATAGATGAATACTCAGGCTAACCTAGTGGATATAATCTTGGAAGTTCCACGATTACCCACTTCAAGATCAAAGTATTATATGCTTTTTAGTTGTTAGTGCCGCGAACGTGGATGCTCCGTTGGCGCCCGCGAGTGTGTGCTTCCGCTGAAGTAGGTCAGGTCCCCTTTGCTCAGCATGTGGTGTTCGTGCAGGCTCGCGCCAGCTTTTCCTGTATAAATCCAGCTTTTTCTGTATAAATCCAGCTTTTTCTGTATAAATCCAGCTTTTTCTGTATAAATCTGATGGTTAGGTTTTCTGTTGGAACAGAGGGTCTGCAATGCTTTCCTGTCAAAACCTTCCCACCAGCACAGTGTCTGCTGTTTAGCTCGGCTCCCGGTGTGCACCTTAGATGTTTTTTAAAATAAAAATAAGAATCTGTACTGACTTCATGTGGCTGTTCTGGTTTTAAAGAATGAGCTGTATAGAGGCTGTGTGTTTCTGTACTGATGTGGCGCTCATTAAGTGCTTTTGTATCGTTAAGTAAAATTGAGGTGTTTTGCAAGAACCAACTCAGACAAGTTCTTCTGTCTTTATTTTTGTAAAAAACAAAACAAAAAAAATGAAAACAACAGTCACCACCAAGCTTATGACACCTCACCAGGCAAGGCCTTGACGCCCCACCTCCATGTCCCAAGTGTCCAATCAGCAGGGCCAGGGAAGCAGCCGTATTGACGGTGGCTTTCCCCAAACGGCTGTTACAAACTAGGGCTTGGGAAGGGAGGGAAGCCTTTGAAACCAGTTTTCATCATTGAGAAGTTGCTTAAAGCCAATCTGCTCTAAATAACCGTAAGTGGCCCTAGCTGGTTTGGCTCAGTGGATAGCCAGCCTGTGGACCAAGGGTCCTGGGTTCAATTCCGGTCAAGGGCATATACCATGGTTGCAGGCTCCTCCCGGCCTGGGCCCTGGTTGTGTGCAGGAGGCAACCAATCAATGTGTTTCTCTCACATCGATGTTTCTCTCTGTCTATCTCTTCCACTCTCTCTAAAAAATCAATGGAAAAATACCTTGGGTGAGGATTAACAAAAAAAATTAAAAGTCACTCTTTTAAAAAAATAACCGTAAGTGTGAAATACAGGGAAGGAAGAGCACGCTGTCAGAAAAGTCTCCAGCGACATGTTGGCTTGGGGGAGGGTCAGGTCGGAATTGTGTTTTAAGGACCCGGCACGGTTTCATGAGCTTGCTCCGCGCTCCTGGATCGGAGACTGTGATGACGATAAATACATGCTGCTGGTTAGGCTTATAACCGTAGGGTGGGTGGGGGCGGCAGGGCCGGGGTCCTCGTTAGTGTGCTTAGTGCTGGTGAGAAGGTGGGGCCCCGCCTCGGAGCAGACAGCAAGCCCGTGTCCCCCGTCACCTTCTGCTGAATAAGGGGGACGAGCAGTCTCGGCTGCTGGCTCGCTCCAGCCCACGCGCAGGCGACCCGGGCCGAGCCGGAGGGAGGATCGGATGCCTTAGGAGTGTTGGGTGAGCCCACGTCTGACGGTCAGACAGGAGCAAGTGTCTTTCCTTCTGGGCTGACCCGGCTGCAGCCTTCAGCCCCACGGTGGGCCGTGGTCAGGGGTTTAGGCATAGCCGCCAGCCATCTGACTGGTGGCCGCATTGCTGCCGACTCCTCGCCAGGCCTGGAAGCTGAAGAAAGCGCTCAGTCCGTAGGCGATCATCACTAAGCACGAGAAGAACTGAAAGGAGAGGAGACACCTGGCTGAGTGTCTGCAGCGCGGCTCGGGGGAGGGGTGACAGTGACGCTAGCAGGAAGTGGGCGGCCTGGGGCAGGCACAGTGGGGCCTCGGGCTACTCCATGACCCGGACCAGTTGCTCTGGCGGCCACACCCTCTCCTCAGCCGCACACTCATCGAGCATCTAATTGTTGGGGGCTGATGGTGCTGACATTCCATTCCAGTGGGGGGAACCCTTAACCACGCAGACAGGTATGTGACAGGCAGCTGGACAACACGCTAACAAGCGTCATGAGGGGCAGGAGCTTCTTTAGACACGAGGGATTTCGTTTTTCAAAAGGCAACATTCCAAAGCTACCCTAGGAATCTTCCGGAATCCGTTCGTGGGAGAGCCTTGAATCCCCCCAAGTGGTCTAAACCGAAAGGTCTTTGCATGTGCCCTTTGCAAGGTAAGGATGGGGGCCACAGTTTTTAAGATTCTCTGGTGGGGGAGGGGCGGGGCTGCCTACAATCCTAAGTCAGTGAGTTGCAACTGATTGACAGCCAAGTTCAAAGGTTAACCCAAACTTCCATTCACCACAAGGTATTTTCCAAGCCTGGTGCTCCTTTGGGCCTTTCTGTTAACTGTGGGGGGACCGAAGGCTGGGCTCCCCTGAGACCTGCTGAGTTAGGACGAGAACTCGGGAGGTGGCAGGTGCCTGGCCTCAGACGAGGGAGCGGTGGGGTCCAGGGGCCCAGCCCTCGCTCTGGCCGATCCCCGGTCACTGCTGAGCCCCAGGGAGCCGTACTCACGGAGGCAGCTGCGCGCTGGTTGTATTGCCGGGTGCCCTTCAGGGACGTCTGCTCCACCGAAGCGGAGCAGGTGATGAAGGCCGTGACGTAGAGAACGGCGGCGCCCATGTTAAACGCCATCAGCTGGGGGCGGGAGAAGAGAGAACTGGCTGCAGACGCGAGACTTCCCTAACTGGAACCTCACGGCTCCCACCTGCACCCCCCAGCGCAGCCAGAAAGGGCTGGCCCGTGAGGATGGGGATGGAGACACCTGAGCGGAGCACAAACATCAAGGCTGCGGGGAGCTGGTCGGGGGCAGTGACATGCCCAGCGGGCAAGACCCATTCCCCGTGGCAAGAGGCCAAACCCAGCCCGTCACTGAGTGCACCCGTCAGCTAAAGACTCCAGGCCGCTCCTCCATGTCCACTCCTCCATGTCCACGCAGGGCCGAGCCCAGGCCCCCTCCCCTCCTTCCCCCTGCAGGCCTGGGGGTGGCGGGTTCCACATCCCGCTCTGCCCCAAGCGGGAGGAATCTGTTCCCCTTTTGGCCACATTTTAGGCTCAAGGCCCCACGTCAAATGCCAGGGTCAGGCCCCAGCAGGACCCTGAGCGGACAGCCAGGCCCAGGGGCCTTTCTCCAACCCGTGACCCCTGGAGCCAGTCCATGGTCTTAACAGAGACTGCGAACTGGTGGCCCTCAGACATGCTCGGTTCTTCCCATAGTTTATTTATAAAATCACCAACATTGTAAAATTCGATTTCATATGAAAACCTGAAGATTTCATAAAATCTTTCAATCATAAAACACAAGATCTGGCACCAGGCGGCCTGCACACACTAACAGCAGTTGGAACCGAGTAGAGGGGGTCCCTGTGGGCCGATGAGAACTGGGCTCCCCGCAACCCACTCCTAACCCAGTACGCCTATCTTGCCAGCCTGGAAAAATCCCAGAAAAACCCCAACTCAGCAAGCCCAACCCAGCCTCTGGGAAAAGGCCCGGGAGTGTACGAGACAGCCTGCGTCATGGCCTGGGAAAGGAACCGCGTGCCATCACCCGTGAGGCTGAGGCAGTGGGGCCCCTCCATCTCCAGGGCCGGGGGGCAGGGGGGCGGG